ATGATGTTAATTGGTCATCTTGGTTATCTATCGTCCATTGTTGTAGTCAATCAACCAACTAAGTGTTGATAACTCATAGTGTTAGTCGGTCAACCATCGTGGTAGTCGGTCGATCACAGTGTTAGTCAAGCAATCATATTTGTAGTTGGATAATTGCTTTTACTTGGTTGGCCATCGCAGTCCACTATTTATATTACATAGCATCACTAGCCCATATGCCTTTTTTTCGATAGTTATTGTTAAGAAATAGCATATTCACTCTTCTATGTCGATGTAGCTGGTTGATTAATCATTCTAATAACTGGTTTATAGACCAGCATTTGTTGATATGCTGGTAGGGGGTTGATCAGTTGCCTGGGACAGTTGGTTGATTGCGGAGGCAGTTAATCCAAAAATGATCTTAAATCAGCAAATTTTAGAGATTCTAATATTTTTTGTTCAAGTTTCCCTAAAATTCAAATTGGTCTCTTTAAGTCTCTAAATCAAAATTTTAAAATCGAGTGGAAACTAGGTAAGATGGTGGTCCTTGACATTCCAAATGGACCTAGTTCTTATAGTTCTTCAACCAAATTAAATCAATTGCTTGCTACTCAATAGTTTTTGCAATTTGGTGTCAGTTAACGAATTTTAGTTTTCTATTTCCATTGGCAATTCTTGAGCTTTAACCATTTTTTAACTATTATTTTCAAGTTCAGCATCTAGCCCCTTGACGATTTTGATATGTTGAGCGTGAGGTTTAGTGATTTTGATCCTTAATTGTTTTTTTGGTCTTGAAAACTCACCACTAGGATAGTAGAGCGATTTTAGGCTCATAACCAAAAAAAATTTCACTGCCTAGCCCCTCGGGTGATTTGTTAGGTTGAGTGCATGGTCTCGTGATTTGAGCCTTAACCAATTTTATTTTATTTTTGAACTCACCACTAGGACCATAGAGTGATTTTGTGCATATAATCAATTTTTGGCTTTCTTGCTCACCGCCGAGTCCCATGGAAGATTTTGATGTATTGGGCGCCTGTATAGTGATTTTTAATTTTAATCAATTTTTGATTTTTTAAAGCTCGTCACTAAGACTGTAGAGCGATTTTGAGCTTTAACCAATTTTTTGATTTTCTTAATCATCACTAGCTCCTTCGAGATTTTTGATGTATTGAGCGCTTGTCTAATATTTTGAGTATTAATTAATTTTTTTGGTTTTGAAAGCTCAAACTAAGACTATAGAGAGATTTAAACTTATAACTAAAATTTTTTATTTTCTTACTCACCACCTAGCTCCTTGAAGGCTTTGATTTATTGAGCGTTTGTCTAGTGATTATGAGCATTAACCAATTTTTTGGTTTGAAAGCCCACCACGTAGATTGTAGAGCGATTTTGTTACGTTGAGTGAAGTTTGGAGCTTAAAATCTCAACGATTGTAGATCAAGTCCGTACATTTACATAAATCTTGCCTAGATTTACGGACTCAATAGACGCATCAATATGTCCTGAGTAAGTTGCTTTTTTTATCGCCCTCATTGTCAACCACTGTCCAGACTATTACTAATAAGGCTAATAATTACAAAAGACTAGAACTAGTAGTAGCTTACAGAAAGAAAAACAATAAAACTCTTAGAAATTATATTTACAAGGAGAATAGAAAGACATCTTACCTTACTTTTTTTTTTTTTTTTGAAGCTCATGATAGGAGTCTGGTGCGGTACTTCAACGAATGGATTTCACTTGTTGTTGCTACTGCTAAAGATCTATGAATTAAGATAAATTTCCTATTGAGATTCAATTGATGGTTGTTCCCAGTACCACTTCCATTGTAATCCATAGATGCTGCCCTTTGTGTAATCACAGAACAATTGAGTAGTTCGATAAGAGGAATTATAACTGATGTATGAAGTAATGAAGAAGAATTAGTATGATTTTTGTAAAATGTGTATTATGATGTGTTGAAGAACAATGTAATTGAGCTTAGCTAAATTGAATGACAATTTCTAGGCTATTGAGAGGTTGGATCTCTTCTCACTTTTCTCAACAACTCACTCCCTAAATGCCTCTCCCAAATCCTCCATTGTTACATTTATAGGCATTCATTTATTTCTATTACCATTTTACCTTTCTGCTAACTAACTAAGTAGAACACTTTAGAATAGTTGATGACTTGACTACCTAAATATTGGTTGTATCACTGCAATCTGATTGGTATCTATCAGCTCACCACTAGGATGGTCAAGCCTAGCTCCTTGTAGGCTCAAAACCCGACATCATGACTAGTGGAGAGCCCTTAGCTTGTATGCTCTCTACGTGGCACCTCAATGAAGCTTGTTGATCACCCTTTACACATCCGACCCTCAATTGGCCAAGAATCTCATGACTTGATGGTAGGTTGAAGTAATAGCACCAACGATATTCAACAGCAGTTAACCATAGATTGCATTGTATGCCATGGGTGTTTGACAAATAAAATCTCATCAAGATCACCATACTTGCTGGGTAAGTTCCTAGCATCCCTGAAAGCTCTATGGTTTTCTTTGGTATTAGAATTGCCCATTCGATTCCTTGGAGAGGACAATCACGGATTTCAATTATTCTAGAGAGATTTTTAGCTCCAAAAAATGCTTCCCAAATAAGAACATTTGTTGCACTACCACCATCAACTAGCATCCTTTTAACGTCAAAATCCACCATGTTGTCGATTACCACCAAGGCATCGTTATGGGGACTTGCTATACTAATCTAGTCTTCCTCGTCAAAAGTGATGTTCTAATTGAATCTGGCCCTTTTCGAATGGAACAGACCTTAATAGAGCAGGCTAATTTTTTCTAGCGAAATTTAAATCTCCATTTGCTGCGATCTCTTCGACAATCATGTTAATTACTCTCACTCTAGGTAGAGGACGATCATCAACTTTTTCCTTACCTTGATCCTTTTTCATATACTTAGCTACGAATCCCTGTCTCCGAAGACGCTTGATCTCCTCTTTTAGATAGATGCAATTTTCTCTACCATGTCCATGATCTCTATGGAAATAACAATACTTGCTTTTGTTTCTATTGCTAGCAAATGCGACCATAGGTTTTGGCCAATCAAGCTCTTTCATTTCTCGAATCTCCATCAATATCTTAGCATGCGAAATATTCAAAGGGGTAAAGATCTTGACTTCTTCACGCCTTTACCTGGTTGACCGATCTTATGTATAGCCCTTACTCGAGTGCCCATTTTTAAGATTGTGTTTTTATTAGAGGTTTTCCTCTCATTGTGCAACTTTCGCTTGTGAGTTTCGGACTCTCGTCTTTCTCGAAGATTTTTTGTGACCTTTGTTGCTTCATCTACATCTACATCTATGTATTTATGTCATTTCTTCAACAAGTCATACATTGACTCTAGGGGATTCTTTGAGAGCAACATCTTAAATGCTCGATTTCGCATCCCATTCATTAATACAGTAACCACAGCAGACATTTGAAGGTCCTTTATACCAAGTGTAGCATAACTGAACCTGGCCAAATAATCTTGTAAGGGCTCATATTTCTCTTGGAAAACTTGTATCAACCTAAGGGATGTCTTCCTCTTTCTCCCGCTTCTCAAGAAATATCCACAAATCTCCTAAAGAGCTCATCAAAAGTTCTGATAGACGGGGTGCCAAAGTAGCTATCCAATCTCTAGCCTCTATCTTAACGTCGGTAAAAAGAATCGACACATCACTGCATCTGAGGTGCATACAATCTCATCAAATCGATAAAAATCCACAGGTGATTAAGCAGTTCCTTGACTCCATCATATGCCTCTATTATTAACTTTTGGTAGAGGGACTGCCATGATCTCTGGTGCGAAGAAGTCTATCTTTAGGCCATCATTTCCTCCATCTTGCTTCCAAGTCTACCATAGGATGTAGAACTCGCGGATGTGTGACTTCGTAAGACCATTGGTTTGCTACCGTTGGCTGAGTAACCAGGAGGACAACGATTTTGTCGCTTGGGGCGGTTGTATGTGTATATCTTGTGATGGAATTTCTAGTGGATTAAGGGATACGCCAGTCGCTCACTAACTAAGTTTCTAGAATGCTAAATTGACTTTGTGTTACATTAAGGTAGAAGAACACCATCTTATGTCTTAATTTACTTGATTCATGGAACCTTAATATTGTCAGCAATCTTTATAGTTGGACAAGAGTTGTATTTAGTTTCTCATCTATGAAAAGAATATCTGAACTATTGGGAATATAATGGTAGATCGAGCTTCCTAGCGATCAACTATCCAGTGCTTGGTTGATCGTCGTGGTAGTGGATCGATCATTACAGTAATCGATCGCTCGACATGGTAGTCATCACGGTAATCAATCAACCATCATGATAATCAATCGACCGATGTGCTGTCTGAAGCTCATCATGATAGTCGATTGACCACCATGATAGTCAATCGACCACCATGATAGTCAATCGACCGATGTGGTGTCAATAGGTCATCGCGATAATCAGTAAACCATCATGGTGGTCAATTGACCGACGTCGTATCAATAGTATTCGATCACCCATCATGGTAGTCAGCCGACTAATGTGATACTGGTGGGTCATCATATAAGTCACTTGACTATCATGATAGTCGACTAACGTGTCCATAGGGATGGTTGATCATAGTGTTAGTCGTTGGGCAGTTGCTTTTGCTTGGTTGGTCATCGTAGTCCACTATTTAATCTCTATTTGAGCTTCATTACCTCGAAATACATTTTTCCTCACTCATTTTTAACCACATTCTTTTATTTAAATAATTTACATGTAAACCCAAATTTATTTATTTATTTTTTAACCGCAATCTCTAAAAATCACGATTACAGAACTCATATTCTATTAAAATAGGGCTCAATTGAGGGCTTAGCATCACAATGTAGAAACAAATTTATTCTGTACTTTTTAACATGTGCAAGTCTTTTTTGAGTTCGGATCGCATTGGTACACCAAACGAACAACTAGGAAAAGATGCAATTAGAATAGGTGAGACTGAGCAAAAGATAAAAATTTATTTCCCTAAGAATGGCAAGGCAAGGGAAAAATCCTCCATCAGAACAATCTGTACATGTCTATATCATGAAGAATCCGGGAAAAAACCAGCAAAAGTTTACAAAATCGACATATAGAGGCACAGCTAACCGCAATTGAACTGAACAATACAATGGATGAAAATCTTTGAAAACAAAAAGCACCAACTGGGAAGACCCTTAATCCTAGACTGCAATCAAGTGATTTGATGAACAAAGAGGAGAATATTCAATTGTCCGATATTTAACCTTTCTGGTATCACCCGAAAAAAAAATTAAAAAATAACAATGAATGACCATTAAAAATATAAGGTGATGATTTCTCGAGACTAAGCAGGATGTGTTGACTCAAGCTACTGCCTACTTTTCATCAGAATGAATTGTAACGAGTTTGGTACTGGAGATCAAGCTATGAGATACAATACTTAGTATAGCTTTATTCTGGTTTGGATTGGACTTCGGCAAATTGGACAAAGCTGGAGGTCCTCTCCACAGTCACGACACGTCTGACAAAAAAGAAAATGTTAAATGTAAATATATTCCACTTAATAGATCACCATAAAACACTATAGTAATATTCGGTTCGCAGTACTCAATTGGACAAAATCTACAAGATTTTAGTTTCTTATCTAACATCGCCACTCCCTATCAAACATGCCATGTGTTGATTCCTATTGAAAAAAAATTTACCTGATGCCCACAACCAAATGCCATGTCCTTTGGGTTGCTAAGGCAAATGGGACAAATCTGCCAAATACAAACACAACTTATGTTAAAAAAAGGAAAATACCAAGAGCCCCAAAGGTAACAAGCACAAATTCCCAGGTGGTTAAATAAATGTTTCCCTGATTCAGAAAAGAATATTACTTGATTATCATAAGTAGAGGTTGGAGCAGATGGTGGAGCAGGAGAAGCAGCGGCAGCAGTGACGGAAGAACTTTTGTGGTCGAAATATGAACTTGAGCTATGTTGAAAACTAGTTGCATGTGTGAATTTCGAACTGTCACCTAATTGTGCACCATAGACAGGTGGTGGAAGAGCAACCCTCTCGGGAGCATTTCCTTTCCTTCCACTGAATAAGCAAAAAATGGTTTAGCACGATAAAAGAGCGCGCGCACATGCACATGGGCTCATGAACAATCACACGCAGGCTCGTGAAAAAACACACGCAGGAAAGGGAGAACAACATAACACAAAAATTACCCCAACAAATTAAGCTCCATTGTTGCTTTGTATTGTGACGGAATTTCCATCAATGCCGAAAGAGCGAATTCTGTCTCTTTTCGAGATTGTTGCACATTTTTGGACATAATCTCTGTAAAATTTACAAACTGCAAAACAGAAAGATCTCCCATCAGCTAAGCATACATATGTATCGAATAAATGTCCCACTCATTATAAAATATAATAGAAAGAAAGCCACTAAAACCGACCTGGAAATTATCGAAGTCACGAGCAGGAATGTTATCATCAAATTCCTTCATCATATCCCAGGGGCCATCTCCAACCCCAACCAAAATAATAGACAAAGGAAACTTGCTGCAAAAGTCATAACAGCATGATATATAAGACTGAAGTGTTGGAAAAACTTATTAGAATAGATTTACAAATATTTACCTTGCTTTGACAATCGCCTGAACAGTTTTCTGCTCCTGTGGACTTAACTGACCGCTTCCAGTATCAACACTTCTGGTTACCTACAATGATAAACAAACTTGATGAAATGTTCACAATTGACTCGATAATACACAAGCAAAAAAAAAAAAAAAAAAAGGGGAACGAAAAAGGTTCTAACGTTGTAAGACAAGACAACTATTTTAGCCTTGTTAAATGTTGAGTGGCAAATTATTTGCTATCAAGTCAAAATTATCCATCATTTACACAAGTAGATCCTTAGTGACAGTAAAACACAAATACAAAAAGTAAACTAACAGGAGAAGATAGTGTTTGAAGTCTTGATATTGGCAAGACTACTATTTTGCATGACTGGATATTGGAATCTGGTATACTTGCTGATATCAACGATGAGATATAACATTAAATTACAGACACAAAGTGAACAAGCCAATGCCATAGCAAGTTATTGCTTTGTTCAATGACACTATTAGACATCGTTGAGCATACTAGATTGTCTAGAAAATACCACAAAAGAAACCGATTTCTCATGTCCAAGGCAAATTGTGAAGTTCCATCCTTGGGCCAATCCAATGACGAAGTTAAATAAGTTCACATCTATAAAGTCAAACAATTATGAAATTTATTCATTGCCATAGAATCCGTGCAACAAATGTCTTAATATGTCTCCTGAATCCTGACAAAAACTCTCATAAATATGTCTCTATCCTTGAATCCATCACAATGATACTCCCAAAGACGGATGCTTCAGCTTTTCATTCTCCTAAAGTGAAAGGCCTGTAGTTTGTATCCATGATAAGCAAAAAATAAAAATAAAAATACCTGTCCATCGGCAATAATCAGCAAAACATGGTACTGGCCTCCACTCTGCGCAACAATAGTCATGGCCATTTCAATTATGGGAGCAAATGATGTTGGTCCTGCAGCAAAGTGAAAGAGAGACTAAGTTTTATATTCCAATTAGCATTCAAATATTAACTGAACCCAATAGGCTACGTAGGTTATGAACCTGCCAATTTTAGATTAGGCACAATTTTTCTGTAACAACTTAAAACATCTTCGAATCCGTTACAGAATCTCTCGTCAGGGTAGAAACTGAATACGTCCTGATCATGCGTTGAAGCTGTCAAAATATAAGGAGAAGAGAAATAGATTTAAGATTTATAACTAGAATAAGCCAAATCCTGAATTTGAGAAAGAAAACACAAGTTTATTGTGTAATACCATCTCCAAATCCGTAACAGGGTATCAAGTTATCCTCATCAAAAGCCACCAAGGTTCTCCCAATAATAGATATAGCTTGTTCATAGGGATTTAAACCACTTCCAATATGATGTAAGCTTCGACCATTATAGGATCTCTTACCTAAAAATGGATTCATGTTTCAGTGTACTTCACATTATGTTATACTTAAATAGCTATCTAAATTTAAAAATGTACAACCTGTCCATTCATTGCTCTTGGTGAAATCAATACCAACAATTAGGTTGGAAGACTCAAGGCCAGCACGTGAAAGAGCTTCAGTCACCTAGAGAAAATAGCGTTTTTGATTCAAGATTTTGTGAAAGTTTAAACATTAAGAGGCTGGGAAAAAAAATCACATCATAAATGAAAACTTTAGAAAATTTTGAAAATAATGCAGGAAACATCTAAATGCCATACATGTTAAAGCACAGTCAAGACAAGCAAATTTTACCCGGATTATACTGAGTAATCTAATTCCAATGTATTTGAGTTCCATCGTATTATTTTTCATCCCATGGAATATTTTCCATTGCTATAGTCACAAGCAAAGAGCTTACTTATAAAAATGGCAAACGACGTGTTGTGTTTAAAAGTTGAATGATGATTGAACACTTATAGATAAAGCACTTGCACAGTTTCCCTTTAGTTATTGCCAATGATCCATTGGAGAGAGGGAAGATCAACTAACATACATCAACTTGCAAAGGGGCATTTCAGAAATTACCAATTATAAGCATTGTCATTGTCATGAGTCAAAATATCAGCTTATGTCACAATACATTTTCATTGTAATGCTGCAGCAAAAATATGGTTTTATCAATTGTAGGATAAAGTTCCTTTCATGCATTTGTATTGACATGCATTTTAGTTTCTCCAACTAACACTTATATAGGAGAAACCAATAAAGTGCACCTGAGTCCTATTATAGCTATACCATAGAGTTAAAAAGCAAGCCAACAAAGTATTCTTGACAAAAAATAATAGCCAGCTGAGCACACTTTCCCCAACAAAATGATGTATTGAATGAAAATCAAGCACCTAAATTGTGAAGCAGTTGGTAAAAAGGTAGCAACGGGAAACAGAACTTACAAATTGTGCCTTCATTCTTCCACCAAAACATGAGCTAACTAATTAATTTCTTATAAAATTAGGTTGTTAAACATCCAAGGATTTTGTATGTCATCGCTGTGCAATTATAATAATTAAAACTTCGTTTGCCTCATCAAGTGGACACAATTTTCTCCTTATCATGTATGAATCCTAAATTCAACTGTTAATCAATACTATCTGTCCTCAACATGAGGTCAAATCAAAGTTCTGTTTTACAAACAATCTAAGCAGATTTTTGGTGTTTTGCATGTTTCAATTAGGTCGTACAAAAGAGAATAAGGGCTTAGCGCTTGTAATACAAACATAAGCTGCGACATCCACAATACAGTATCAGATAAAATTGCAAATTCTGGTTTTCCATGACAAATTATATTGGAGATGTTGCTATATACAAACCTCCTCTAATGAATTATAATTGTCTGCAATCCTCGAATACCTCCTGTCTAGCGTCTTTTGCGGAGCATGTGATTGGGACGGAGCCCCATAATTTTGAGGAGGAACATAGTACTCATCAGGTGGGGGATATCCTGCTGGATAAGGATGCTGCACAGGATAATTCTGAGTGTATTGTGAATACGCTGATTGAGGATGTTCTTGTTGCCTCGAATTCAAAGAACTGGATGAGAATGATGAAGATTGCCTCCAACTCCCCCCATCCCTAGGACTTGAACTTTTATTTCCCATCAATTCAATTCACCTACAAAATTCTCAAACCCGAGAATGATAGAAACTGACGAAATCAATTACCCTGAATATTTAATTAAACTCAGGGAATCCAAAGACTCTTCAGAATCAATTAACCCAAAAATCCAACAGACAGCACAGTTCCCACTACAAACCAACGGATCAAAAAGCCAGGAATCAAACAACCCCTGAAATCAATTTCACAAGAATCGAATAATAAATCCAAGTTCTTGCAGAACAATCTTCTCTTAGATCAAGTCAAACACAGGCCCAACTAACAAAACTACAAAGAAACCAAATTGGTGAAGTTGTAAATGCTTTATTTCTAATTGAGATGTGGTCTTGTGGTTATGTATAATGAAACACGAGAAAAATTCAACGAAATGAGAATTTAAGCTGCCCATAAGGCGGCCGAAGAGTCTTCGTCCACGCTGCGCCAACTTCTATAGACTATTACCGACCTATATATAAACTTCCAGATATATACACGTTTATTACAAGTTGAATAACTCTAATTTTCTGAAATAGATTAATCCACAGGGAACTATATTCCCACAGAAATTGAAAAGTAAGTACATTGAGAAAATGGAAGAAACGTAAATTGAATGATGGCTTTTAGTTTATACAAAAAGAAAAAAAAAAAAGTGAAGTCAAATCCAATCTCCACTCATTCAACCTTTGCCAAATAAAAAATCAAAACAAAACAAAAATTTAAGCGCATTTTGAAAATCCCATTGCCCGATGTTCAACTTACGATAAAATGTAAAACAAACACATTTCTATATCAATTTGTGTGTAAAAAAAAATGAATAGAACCAACCAAGAGGGAGAGAAATACTACTAAACTGAGCCCCAAAAGCAGATTCGCTGCTGCATTTTCTTCAGTGTTTAAATGGAGATTCAGAAAAGTTAAGAAAATCAAAATACAGGGGAAAGGGAAAAAATTGGGGGTTTTAGGTTATTACCATATTTAGGGCCTGTTTATCATGATTATGAGAATTAATTTTTAACAACAGAAAAGTGGGTCCCTTACGAGTGAAGATGTAAAAAATGACGACTATAATAGTGAAATAACGATCAAAAAATTAATTTTTTGACGTTAAAAATTGCTACCAAACCAGGGCTTAATTGAAATTTGTAAGATTTTTATAGACTTTTTTAATTAACGATTTATTTTTATTTTTTGGATTTCGTGGTTTTTATAGATTTGTATAAAATCTTAATGAAAGTTTTACTATAAACTTTCATTTTTAAATTTTTATAGACTTTCATAGAATTTAAAAGACTTTTGAAAACTTTCATTTCAAATAAAATTCACGTGGGTACAGTACAACAATGTAAAGTTCACATAGTGGTGATTTCCACGATTCCATTTTTCCTCCCCATGTATAAAAAAATATTTTTCAAAGAAGAAAGCCTTTTTTTTATCCAATTTTATAGTTTGATATGATAGATGCTATATACGTTTTAAACGGATCTTTCAGATTTTTTTCCACCAAAACTTAAACAGATTCTTGATCGGTTAAAAGACCATCCTTTGATAATTCAATTCATTTCCATACCACCTCTTGTGAATAATGATATTGTAATCCCAACATATCATCATGTTCTAATAAATGAAGGAGCCAAAATATTTAAACTCTCTTCAAAGACAAATGTTAAAATAAAAATCAAACAGATTGATAACGAAAGATGGATCTCAGAAACCGCATCAATGATAGAAGTTCAAAATAATGATTTCAGATTTATAGCAAAATAAAATAACGGAGTTATTTTCAGCCAAAAGCATCTTGCTATAAGAAAAAAATCTATACAAAATATTGGGAAAAAAAATTATATCTGATGACTTTTCAAGAATCAAATGATGAATTCACAAGAAACTCAATCGTACACAAAAGAAGAAGAATACAAATCGGACGGCAACGAAGATGAAATTGATGTAGATCTACAAGAAACCTACATAAAGATGATGGACAGATATGTGCAATAATTGAAAAAGAAGAAAAGAAAGAAGAAAAGCAAAAAAGCATATGAATAATACTTAAAGGACAATTATCAATAAAAAACGTCAAAGAGGGAGGAGCGTGAAGACAAAACTTTTAGAAGAAATTTCATACATCACTAAAGTTGTACAATATTATTTAATTATAAATCAAACGCCCGTAAAAGTTGTGCAGTATTGATTATTTTAATTGTAAATCACACAACTGAAAAATTGTACAATGGTAAAGGGATATACGTGGTGTACGAGTGTCTATAAATATCAACACCTACAATACAACACACAACAAAAAAAAAAAAAGCACATTATAACACTTGTATTCAAAAATCCCTTCTCAAACTTTGTGAATTTAAAGACATTTTTATAAATCCAAAGATTTCAGAATTAAAGTAAGTCCATTTCATACTTTCTCTTGTTTATAATTTCCGTTTACTTTATTTATTTTCGAGCAAGACCTAAAAGAGGAAATACGAAGCGAGCAATTAATGTATTCAGAAGTAGTATATTATCTCTTTATTATCTTTTTCATAAAAAAAAAAAATAACAAATTAACACTCTTAACCTCTTTATTCTAGATTCCATGATTAAAAAGATAAAGTAATCTTCTAAATTAAGTTTTGTATCATAATTAAGGGATTTTGTTTAAACCTTTTTAAAATTAAAAAATCTTTATGATTATAGTATTAACCCTTTTTTAGAATGTCAAGAACAAAGTTAAGAGAGAGATGATGATGATGATGATAATAATAATGTCAAGAACAAAGTTAAGAGAGAGATAATAATAATAATAATAATAATAATAATAATAATAATAATAATAATAATAATAATAATAATAATAATAATAATATATCTGAAAAGATTAAGATGTTAAACGGTAAAAATTTTTAAAGCCATTACAATCATATTGTTTTAAAGTTTTAATATTTTATGCCATTAGATAATTATACTGCATCCACCTTTGTTGTCCAATAGAAAGTTTTAAAGAATTTATTAATATGTATTTAGAAAATAGAGAAATTGATAAATTAGTTATAGAAAGCCATATGTTATCCACTCCAAATAGAAATAAATGTGACTCATCTTTACAGATTAAAAAGCAAATCAATGAACTCTTTATCTCTCGGTGTCAGAGTTTCTTGATAGAAGATCCTAAATATTGTAAGAAAAGACAAAAAGGCATAAAAATTATAAGAAAAAATAATAATAGAAAAATAAAAATTCCCTTTTTAAGAAAAAAAAAAGATTTTCTTTTAGAAACCCCTCACCGATTTTTTAGCCAACCCCACGATTGGTATGAGAGCAAATTCTTAGTCTAAAATAATTAGCGTATGAAAAGAATAGATTACTTAAATCTAGAAATTATAGGAAGTTTTAAATGAAAAAAATAGTTTAGATACGGCTACTATAATTTGTAACTTTGATAAAAAAAAATTAAACATCTTTTACATTCTTAAGATAAACAGCCAAATAGTATTGTAGATTCACTTGTAAATTTAAGAGAAAATTTAGAAATGAATAATTTAACAAAAAAAATAGAAATTTTATTAGAAAATATAAACAAAAATATAAAGACTTTAGAAAGTAATTTAGAATATATTAAAAATCAAAATATTGAAATATGAAAAAGAAAATTTAGGCCTTGTTTGGTACCCCTTTTTTTTAAAATGCATTTTTCTCTCTCTTCTTTTCAACCACATATTCTTTATTAAAATAATATTACACGTAAATAAAAAAATTTTCCTTATTTTTGAACTACACATTTCTCATCACTTTCCTATTCTAAAATGTATTTTTACATAAAAATGGGTGTCAAAGACCCTCATAATAATATTATGAGTAGACAAAAACTCTTGAATCAAACGGTTTTTCTTAAGTTAAATACCCGAACGGATATCTGAATCGAGAATTGATGGGTTTTGTTTGGTTTTCAATTCTAAATCAATAACTGAAAAATCGAATCTCCCTAATTTTTTAATTAATTTATTTATATAAGTCAAATTATTTTATTTTTCTAAATAAATTTGCTAACTAATTAATTTAATTCAAACCAAAAATATGATTTTTCCTGTTTCTAATTTTCAATTCAAAGTCAACTTAATCAAATTGACCTAAATTTTATCCAAATATGTTACTCTACCGTAGTGTCTTTTCTACCGTTCGGGAGAAATCAAATTGAAGCTCGACAATGCCTCTCTTAATTATTTGAAGCTCGTTATCTTCCTATTCTTGTGATTTTAACAATCAAATTAAAGAAGAACTCCGCAAAAAGAGTATAAAAGACAAATAAGATTGGACTGCGTTATTTCGTAATAGCTAAGATTGAACATATCATTAGTTGAATTAATATAAATTTGTAAATATTAAACAATTTAATTTTAATATAAAACTTGGAAACCGAATGAAACTGAACACGAACAGTTCCATAATTAAATTTGGATTCGACAATTTCACTTACTAAATATTCGAAAATTTCGGGTCCGATTTGGTTCTAACGAGAACCGAACCAAATCTAACCATGTCCAACCCTAAATAATATAGGAGAAATAGAGACTAATCCTAGATTGGAAAATTTGGAAAGTAAGTAAAAGCATTAGAAAAAGAAAAGTCAATAGATACTAAGTAAGATTTAGCTAATATAATAAATAAACTAAAAAAAAGGTTAGATTTAGGTAAGGCTAAAGAACCAAGTAGATTTAAGAAGATAAAGTAGATTTATACGTAATGGACAAAGGAAGACAAATTAAAGCTAGTAGTAGTAGATTAGTCGGTAATCCTTTATTAAGGACATTAAGTAGAAAAATGGAATTTGAAACAAGATTAGAATCTCTAATAAATATAGAAGAATGGATAGAGACTTACGATAAAATAAATTAAGACTATTAAAAACTCTAGACATAAATATAAACGGGAATATGTTTAGCAAATCTTTAATATATCAATATTATGGTAAAAGATATGTTTCTTGTACACAAAAAAAATCAATTTATATCTTTAGATTTAATCGAAAAAGAATATTATAAAGAAATTGTTAAAACAAATCTTCAATAAACTCATCTAGAATTAATAATGATTAGAGTAAAATGATTTTATTGAGAAAATTTCGGAATTCAAGTATTAGCATGTTTATATGATAACACATTCACAAATATAAAACAAGGATTATTAGAAAGTATAGAATTAGATATAAATAACAAAGGTGGAATAGTATTCTTTACACCTGATTATTTAGTCAGAATAAATTTTTTTATAAAGACATGAAAATAGGAATAAAAAGTAAAAGATATAAAATGAAAAGGAATGAATACAATCTATTAATTTGCAAAGGATTCATATGAAGATTGAGCAAAAATAGTACTACCAATTATATATTAGAAAATAATCAAATAATTACGAGAGGTGGTGTGAAAATTAGTTGAATTATCAAAGGATGATTTTTTAATTGATCAAGAATTTGTTTAAGTTTTGGTGGAAAAATTTTGAAATATCTATTTAAAACATATATAATATCTATCATACCAAGCAGTAAGGCTAGATAAAAAATGTCTTCTTCTTCAAAAATTACAATCAAAGAAAATTGCAAGGTAATTGTGTTTAAGAAAAGCTGGATTTTTGGATGATTCGTATTTGGGGCCATGGTTAAGAAAATATTGATTTTCGTTGTGAAGTTTGAGAAAAATTAATGATTTCCTGTACAATTGACTTCTTATAGAACTTCAAGCAATATTGGCACAATCACCAATTTTTTGTTATAATTTGTATAAAGTCTTTTTGTTGCCTTGCAACTGTAGAATTCATTAATTCAACAAGGTTTTTTTTTAATTTTATCAAAGTAAT